GTAATGTGTCTCTGGACTGGCTACGTGGTAATGTGTCTCTGGACTGGCTACGTGGTAATGTGTCTCTGGACTGGCTACGTGGTAATGTGTCTCTGAACTGGCTACGTGGTAATGTGTCTCTGGACTTGCTATATGGCTATTTGGCTACGTGGCTATTTAGCTGTCTGGCTACGTCATTATTATGTGGGTATATAGCTATTTCGCCACGTGGTAATGTGTCTCTTTGGCTACGTGGTAATGTGTCTCTGGACTGGTTATGCGTCTACGTGACTATATAGCCAAATGGTTACGTCGCTATTTGGCTACGTGGTAATGTGTCTCTGGACTGGTTATGTGTCTACGTGATACGTGGCTATGTGACTATTTGGCTACGTTGTTCTGTGGCTAAAAATAATAAAAAAAAAAAATCTGTGGTTGGGTTTGTACTACCTTCAATACAGTGGTGTTCCCCCCCCACCCCTTTTGTCCCTCCGTTTTTTTTCCCGCCATTGGAAGTCTTTTTGCTATAATTGTGACCTTGGGGCCTGCTGTAAAAGCGTTCGCTGTTCCGGCCCTAATGGGAAGAGGCGTGTGTGTTGTATTGTATTTGTCATTTTAAATCAGAGCCTTGGGCACAAAAAAGAAAAAAAGAAAAAGAGGGAATGAAAATAGAAGTCAGAGTTTTTTCTTTGGGTGTAAGATATGTGGTATCAGTTTCCTGTCTTTTCCGTCAGCAATTGGTTGGGGGGGCGACCCACGTCTGGCACTCCCCCTGCAACAGGTGGGGGCTTCAGGGGGAGGGAAAGCACAGTCCGCGCAAAAGGGGGATGCAACGGCGATCGACACTCGGATGGCGGCGGCGGATCACAGCTGTAGAAGCAGAGTTGCCGAAAGTGCGACCGAGGAGAGGGTAGACGACGTCCGCCATGACGATGGAAGAAGAGACGGAAAGCGGGAGGGCGACGACGACGACGACCGTCCACCTTGTGACGAGGTTGAAGGGAGCCGCAAAGGAGGATGGTCTGGAGAAGAGATCGAAGTTGTGGGTTGATTGCGACTCTTTCTGGGGTCAGGGACCGGGGAAACCCTTGAGGGAGGGCGGGGGAATGCGCGGGAGGGAAGCCGGGGAATGCACAGGAGGGAAGGCGGGGGAGGG